CAAGTACTTCATAAACTCCCACATATAGTCTTGGCCAAGCACCCTATAAACCCCTGCATACAGTCTTAGTTTAGCATCCTATAAATCTCCACATATAGTCTTGGCTTAGCACTCCAGAAACCTCCTTTGTTGGTTGTTATCTGATATGTTTGGTCTACTGAAAATCAAATTTCGTTTAATTATAAATATTCTTGTAGTAAATTTTTTATTCTTAATGAGAACTTAAAGACAGTTTGGCAAATACTATATAAAATACACATTATAAACGATTGTTGCATCCAGACGCCTTATATAAGTGCATAATTTTGTTTGTTGTTAGGCACAAAGCTACACACAATGGGCCATGTTCTTTGCCAAGCGCGGGTATCGAAACCCGATTTTTTAGTGTTATAAGCCTTGCTACTTACCGCTGAGTCACAGGGGAGACAATTGCGTGATAATCTATGGAAACCCAAAGAATACACGTGTACCATCACTTCTGAATAAGCTTTGGCTTTAAAATAGTGAGATATTTGAGTTTTATTATAAAGAACGATTTATGTTGCCTCTCTCGCCATCACGTAGCATTTAAAAAATCAGTTCAAGTCATAATGGAGTTATATATATCTAAAATGACAAACCCCATTGATTCCATTATAAAATTCAGCTTAATGAATCTTTTTCGTCTTATCTGGATATGCTTGATAACGATAGAAAGTTTGAATGGTAGCAATACTTAATATTTTAATGACTCGGGAAGTAATAACTTGTTATGTGGTGCGCTCGCTAAAAGTAACGCAATATAAATTTGAAGTATAATACAAGAACGCTCGCTCCAAGAATATTATTTGGGTGTTCTATCGAACAACATTTGAAGTAAAATGGAAAACAAAATTAGGTCACAGTAGAAAATATTTTTCCAATAATTTATATTGAATTAATATAGCATGAAATGCTGAAATAATAAATTACAGTAATGGGGTTACATTACGAATATCGTACTTTGGTCAATAGCATCGTGTATTATCTTGGCAACGGATGATGAAATAGATACTTTTCAAGAGATATTAAATCATACACCGACCATGTTTTTTAATCAATGCAACAGCATATATGAATAAAGCACGTGATGTTAAAAGAAGTAAAACAAAAGAGCTTCCAAGAAATGATTCGAATAAGTATTATTAATAAGGATAATCACGTAAAAAAAACAACAACTAACTTAAACGTTGGCATCTAAGGTTACAAAGGAAGATAATGCACTATGATTACCGAAATGTCCAGAATCAATTACAACATATGTAAGAAACAAATTTACGCATGTAAATTCAGTATAGGTTGGTGTTCTGCATTTTTATAAGTGCGTGCAGTTTAACTTCAAGTAAAGCCTGGTATTATTACGAATATGCTGTTCTTTCCTTTTCTTTTAGTACAAACCTGAAGCACACAGTGTATAATCAGTTACTTCTTTGAGAAAATATACATGTTTGTTTTCGTAAATTGTTTCGGAAGTTCGTGCAAAGCTAGACAATGAATATCTGCGCTAGCCGTCCCTAATTTTGAACTAATAGATTAGAGGGAAGGTAGCTAATTAAAAGTACTAACCGCCAATTTTTGGATTTGACCGCCAACTTGATGATTTTATAACGTATACACGGCTTCGCAGTGCGGAGCGCGATTTTACGGCAACGGGGTGCGAAACATGGGCCCAAAGATTCAGAGTCTAGCCCACTAACTACTAATCCACGCCCTCTTAAAGATATAGATGTTTACTGCCTAAAAAATTGGAAAATATACCCCACTCTTAAACTTTATGAAGTACTTTGTTCAGCTCATTTAAATATTATTGCAATGTTGAAAACAGCACACGAGCTATCTCGAAGAGCCAACTACAAGGAGTTGTAAAAATCTCGTTCTAAGGATAATAATAATAATAAAAAAATCATTCTGAACCGTAGAAAAAAACAACATAAACCTGTCTCAAACTTTATTTTACATCATATTAATCTACTTGACAAAACGTTTAACCTCCTTGCGGGTTTAGCCTAAACACATTTGGCTTTACACTGGGTGCACTGATATTAATGAAGTTCAGACAAATATTATGCACGTAATGATGTAAATTCTAGTTTTTATGTATCTATAATAAAGTAACGATGACTGGATGTCAAAAAGAACTCACAACAAGGAAGTAATGAGAAATTTACGATTATAGAAAATTTACATTTAAATTTATTTGAATTAGTGTTATGAAAAGGAAAATAATTACAATAATTTTCAGCCGTGTTAAAAACAAAAAAAAGAAAAATTATGTGTACGTCTGTTTTCTAAACGTACTGCAAACTATGATAACAAAAAAGTATGACGTGTTCTGGAAATAAAATAACATAAAACAGTAACAGCTCCCTTCACTAGTGAAACGAAAACAAAGTGAAGATCCAACAGAATATTGTTTCCCTATTGAACACCAGAACAAAGCTGTCATAAAACTGGCGCTGAGATATTAATATATCCTTAAATCCTTCCTTTCTGAGGTAACAACTTTTAATGTACAAGTTTTAGTTTCCGTGTGTAAACACAAGGGTTAAAAATAAAGTGATTTGTAATCTGTAAAACTTTCGGCCAAACATGAAACTTGGACAGTTTTACTCGAATCAAAATTCTATAATTCTTTATACCATAAAGGGAAAATCATAAAGAGAATTAGTTGAGCCAAGAAGAAGGTATAATCTTTTTTTTTCTGACCAAATCTCCCCACATGAAGAGTTATGTTGCTACAGTGAGATCACAGAGCCTTAATGGTCCGTATCAAAGTGTCCATTCTGCTTTCACTGGCTAGCTAGATAGCTAATCTAAGCATTTAGGGACCGAGTGAAAATTACAGAACTGATGCACGACAAGTATCTCCCTCGATAGCTATAAATTTTCTTCTGATATTTTATTGAAGTACAATTATCGATTATTCATTCAATAGAGAAAAAAAACAGGTTCCTTTTTTGTTTTCGAAAACTAAAGTTTTTTTTTTGTAGTGGTGAAGAAACAACAACAAAAAACACGTACCTGTTATTGATAACCAAGAACCTTTAAGGGTGTCTAGTGCAGATGTATTTAAACTTTAAAAACTGAGCAAAGATGAACATAAAAGGCAAATAAGCTGAAAAACGAGAACTGTGGACAAAGAACAAATGCTTCTGATCATGCTCAGTAACTCCCAAAAGTTAAAGGAAAGGAATAAACAAATTTTATGACTTAATTTTCTTTGATAATGTACCTATCTTATAGCGAACCGTCGGACAGGAGAAGCCTAATTTATAGGGAAATATAACAGACTTAGCGAAATGGGATTATCACGTGACTGAATTATTAGTGTCCATTCAATCAAGACAAATCACAGGCACTGAAGCACGTATACAGTATAAATTATCCATTACTTAGTATATTCATTCTAGTTCACTAGTCTTAAAATCCAGGAAATATAAAGCGAAAAAATTAAAAAATATTTTTTTTTGGCCAGATATTTTCTGGGTAACGAACTAGTAATTTTTTTTTTTACAAGCGAAGATGATAAATTAGCAGAAATTCGCTATCAAAGGCCGCTTGGATAAGTTATTCTTTAATAACCTTTGAAAAATTACGCTTAACATCCAACTAGTCATATGAAAAAACGATTCTAAATCAATCTAATAGTATCCAAAAAATGGAAGTAAACTTGAGATGTGTTTTGGCACAACTTATAGGCCTACCAATGCTCGTCTTCTTCACACCATATTATTACAGAAGAAAACAATGCGGAATTTTTTTCCGAATAAAAGTTCATCAGACTAATATTTGAAATTGTTACTATAGCAACCAACAAATTGCGAATAAAAGTTTAGCATAAAATGAGTGTTTTGTACACTAAAGTAAAATATGTTTAAGCATCGTTACGAGTAAAGATATGAATTTTAAAAAAGCATATCCTGACAGCAATGTTTTTGTAGCTAAGCACAAAGCTACACAATTGGCTATCCGTGCTTTGCCCACCATGATTATCGAGACTCATTTTTTTAGTGTTCAGACTTTCCGCTGAGCTTACAGAAGTATACCTGAGTAACTAAGTTTCATTACTTACTTAGAATAACACTTTACGCAATGGAAAAAAATCTTCAAGATTACTATTACTAGGAGTTTTAAAAACTGTTTTGCTTTTTAAATTTTCAATTTGTTAGAGACAAGTAGGTATTCATTATTTGCACTTTACGGAGAATAAGTGTATTGCAATTTGTGTTTAGTAGTAACCAACATTAATAAGAAACATCATGGTCTTTTTTAACAAACAGTTAATAAGCCTTGATGTATTTTAAATATAATTAGGTGCACTAGTAAGCTCTGTGTTAAGAAATAAGAAAATATAAGACAAACTAATATAACTACGTAAGGTACTGTTGTCAACAGAGTCATTAAACATAGATAACACTAATTAGAAGATTGTAATCACTCCTGTATTTCTAGTTAACTATTATTTTTATTAAGTAGCATTTAGAGTGAGTTCAAAAGATAGATTAGTTTGAAGATTATTAACCATATGTATGTTAAAAAAGTTAATTAACAAGACAAGGTGATTATAAATTACTAATTAAGGTAAGCCATGATAAACACAATTTTCAATATAACGGTCCTGCATAGCCCAATGTAAAGACATTAAAAATGCATGGCAATACAGCTGTGAAGCCTCGAAGCAATAAGTCGTACACATTACAAAACAATCATTACAGTGTATGTCCCTATATGACAAAAATGACTCGTTATTAAAACTTACATACAGAATGTTATAAAATATTAAGAAACCTACTTAAATCATATTCATTTAGCATAGACGTTAAGCCGTTTAAAATATTAATATAATTTTTAGACTTCTTGTTTATTTGTTTTCGAGTACAAAGACATGAGAGGTTTTTTCACATCGTTTACTGTTTTGTTAGTATGTATACTTTCAGAACTAAAATAAAAAATACAATAATATTAGAACATAATGAACTTACTCCGAGGGACCTCCGTTAATAGGTGGTATCTGCTTGGAGTCCTGAGCCCCTTGGATAGCCTGAAAGAAAAGTACGAAACTTGATAAACAATAAAGCTATAATGTTTTAGACGCGCATCTTTGTTACCATGGAAACTACTGTTTGATATGCATGAGCTCATATGCAAATAAAAACCTGTAGCAAGTTATGGAATCTTATTTTTTTTTCATATGCGAAAAACTACTATGTGATGTAAATTGCTTTAATACAAAGGAAAGAATATTAACATTTTTTTTTCAAAACTTATTTCCATATTTGATTATCGTATATTTCAAGCACTGAGTCATTCAAGTTGTTACACCGAACTCGGAAACAAGTGTTGTTAATTGTACTTGTTCTTTAAGGTAGGAGGCTTAACAATCCAATATAATTAAGGTACACAAGTTTTTATGTCACCAAGTGAAATAATGTACACCCACAATAGTGGAATTGCTTCCAACTCACAGAAGCCGCTATTAACGGCAACAAAGGGCCATTCAACAGCCGCTGTATTAGGTTGCACGGGCTCCGACTGATGGGATATGGTTAGAAACCTTAAGGCTAAGGATCTTCGTCACACGTAATCGATGGAGAGATTCCCTTTATTTTTATGTTCTTTTCTGCTTCAAAAAGAAGAGTATTGTGGCTATATGGTCATAAGAAACCTGAGGACAGTGAATGTTTTTTTTCATAGTTACACATGACACCACTTACAATATAGAAGTTTGAAGTTAACTACAGCATTGTATATCCTTGGTTCAGAAGTTAACGTGTCAAGTTTTTAGAAAAACATTTTAAGACCAACAGCCCGAAAGTAACACAAGATCCGCGCCGTAAATAACCAACCTAAAAACATCATTTCTATGTATCTACATAGACCAAAGCCAAACCTTTATCTATAAAAATACCTGCAATTCTTGGCTTGTTTAATAACATAATTTTTGCTCTTTCTATAACAGATTTGAATTTTTGTTTTCCAATTACGAGTTTGAAATTCAATTTTTTTTTGGTGGAAATTACTATTATCGTTTTTACAAGTTGAAAAAAGTTGACAGGAAATTACTTAGATTAAGCCCATCTTCGCTGAACACGCTATTAAAGGGAAATGGGTTGTATAAGATAAAACAACATGAACATGCCAGGAGAAAGGGTTTGAAAATATAAGCACACGCGTTACAAAATACACCTTTTAACTATGATACACGCCTTCCTTACGAAAGTATAGAGTATTCTTTAAAAAAAGATCATGCATTTCTATTGTGAAAAATGTGTTAATTCAAGCGCATATGAAATAACAGTAAACATGAGACAAATTTACACTTTGCCCACCAGTAGCACAGCGGTATGTCTGCGGACTTACAACGCTAGAATCCGGGTTTCGATACCCGTGGTGGGCAGAGCACAGATAGCCCATTGTGTAGCTTTGTGCTTAATTACAAATAAACAAATAATAAACAAATCGTCTGAAATACTTTAAAAAATTGAACGACATATCAGAACCTCTTGAAATGTTTGTACCTTTTCAGACGAAAAAATGCCTTGTATTTGAGAAGAATTATCGACTTATTATCTTTATAACTTTATCTGCTTAATTTTAGAAACAAAATAATTCTGCGAAACCTAAAAAGATAAAATAAATATGACAGTATAGTTAATTAATATTAGTTTCCGATCTCAGCAAGTTGCCTATTTAGATCAACAATAAAAAGTCAACCCGTTAATGACTATAGCTAATTAAGTAACTATTCTTACATTTTTACTTATATAGATTAGACTGTAATATTACATCAGTTGAGTGCTCTCGCTGTTAATGATATTTTCAGCCGTAAATGCAAACTTTTTAAAATCCCCCAGAAATGAAAAATGAATTTTAATATGATGTATGCAACAACAAAATATTGAATTTTCTCTCTCTGTAACCGAACTTTCTACTTCGTAAACAATATTCTTATCACATGTCTCTAAAGTTATGTGTCGAAACTGTTTCTAAGAGGTTTGTTTATTGGATTTCAAGCAGAGTTATACGAGAGCTCTCCTCGTTATCCGTCCCTAATCTTGAAGTGATAGACTAGAGGGAAAGCAGCTAGTCAACATCACCAACTCTTGGGCAACGCTTTTACCAACGAAAAGTGGGATTGGCCGTACAATTATAACGCCTTTACGACTGAAATGGCGAGAATGTTCGAAGATGGGATTCGAACTCGCGACCCACAGATTGAGAGTCGAGCACCATTACCACTAGATCTTGCTGGGTCACAGGTTGACTGAAAGCTTGTATTTAATTATGGAATGTATTTTCAACATAAATAGCTTTAATTAAAATTTGATATTTAGATCCTTTTTATCGATGTAGCGTGTGCTCTATGAAAGATTCAAAACTTTCGTAATATAAGAAAAAAAATCCACGTAGAATAGAAAACGGCGAAATTGCAGTTTGACCCACTTTTCGTGTTCTAAAAAAAATCATCAGTGCTATCAACATATTCTACTAAGTTACTGTGCGCAAGGTGCAATTTTTTCAAGCTCAAATCTGTAAAAACTAAAACACTATAGGCTATACCTTGCGTGACACGTGGGTCCCTCCCTGTTGGGTTTTACATGGTTCGTGACACGTAAAACATAGATTTTATGGTTGTGAAAAGGTAGAATACGCAGTAGCCATAATTTGTTCCATTTCACCTGTCGCGTAGAAACACACGCTACTCACTTACCTGTTTTAAAAATAGAAGAAACTTTACATTCATGGCCTATTACTATGTTCAAATTTAGTAACTTATTGATTACCAGTAAAAACTTTATAAAGTTGTAGAGTGAACACCAAAACGAGTGTGAATTAGATAATACTAAGTTCAGTAGAGAAGATAAAAACTTGGATAAGCTTTTGTTAACTTCAGAATTTCGTGCAAAGATAGACAAGGCAGCTAGATAACGGTACCCACCGCCAACTCTTGTACGATGGAGTAGTGTAATTTGGCTCTCAAGGCGCACCCACGTCTAAATGTATGAAGCACGCTTTTTGTTTTTCTTGTGGCAAAGGACCGTGAGTCCCGAATCCTTGGATTCATAGCTTAGGCATAAGCCACACCTAGAACCGAGGTTATAGGATTGAGTGGCAGTGATGTATAGTTTGCTTTTACTGATACCTATCAGTTACAAAAATCATTTCAACCTACTACATACCTATTTCTTTCTTTATAACATTAAATAAACCTTACGCTTACTAAAATAAATACTTCCTACATACGAGAAAGCACACATTTATAAACACAACTGTGGTTATACTTCTGGTATTCATATTTTATGATACGACTTCAAAAACAAAGTTGATATCAGGAAAAATATTAAAAATAAATTTGAATATTACAGTAATAGCGTTGTATACACAAAGGAAGAACAAGTATAAATCATATTTATAAACGCAGTAGTTACCCATTATTTAATCACGGCAAAGAGAAAGATGGTAATAACAGCTTCTATCATGAGAACAGTAATGTATACAGGTAAGAGATGTATACTCAAGAAGAAGAAGGCAACAGAACTATACACCCTCTTTCTAAATCATTAGCATGTAGGGATTAGAGCATTAAACAAAACAATTTAATCACTAAAGATAAATGATAAAGAAACAGCGTGTTTCAGTCGTTTTCTTGACATCTTATTGAATGAGAATTCTACGAAATTTAATAACATTTTCTAAAATATATATAACAAGGAAGCAGCAAATATATAGTTTTGTATGCTGTTAATTATATTACAAATTGTCCATATAACGTTATTTTATTTTTCATCTTTGAAGATTCTGTAAACTTACCAAACACCGTAATTCAAAAATATAAGTCTATAGAAATTTTAGGCTTAAAAGATGGATATTTCTTTCAAAATTGAGTTTTTGAAACTTTTGAAACTGTGGAGTAAGATAGAATTTTGAATGGATCCAAAAACGTCATTAATATTTTTACACAGTAAAGTTGAAAAATAAAAAAAAAATCTTTTTAATCACGAGTATTCTTCTTTGTATTTGTTACAGCGGTTCAAAAATTAAGTTGACATTTTAGAAATGTATAATTTTTTGTAGTTTTCAAAAGTATTAAAACGTTATTGAGAATTATTAATTTATTGACCAACTTCGTTAACGTGTCTGTTATCAAAGGGCTAGGAGTGACCCAGTTGTAAGCACACTAGGTGTTAGTCTAAGGGTTGTGGTTCGCATCTCAACGTTGCAAAATTGCGATGCGCAATTTGAGGCTGTGGATGCGTTATAAGAGTGACGATTAGAATCGCCCAAAAGTTGACTAGCTGTCTTTCCTCTCGCCCATTAGTACAAAATCAGGAAGCTAGGGCAGATAATACCTGTGCGATTTTTCAAAACAAACAAATAAAAGCAAAAGATAAAGTTGCGATGTGTATTCAGAAAAATAAAATAATTTTAATAAAAAATAATAATAAATATTTTATGGTGATTTTTTTAAGTCACAAAGTAAACAGAAATCAATTCTAAAGGAAACAAAATATGTAAATTATACGCCTTAAAAATCCATTAGGACACGTAAAATGCCGTATTTATGTGTACACAAGTCTCTCGTGGAGTTGCTGAGTTGCAGAAAAGTGTTCTTGTAAAATATTCAGTACATAGAAAATCGATATAGGTGAGGATGTGTAGTTTAAATTCAATCTACAGCAAACTACCGAAAATAAAATGCAATAGGTATAGAAAAGTACAAAGGTGGGGGAAAATAAAAAGAGAGGAACAGTAGAAGTAGAAAATTCTGAGAAAACGGGAGTGGGTTAAGAGAAAAAAAAAGAGGTCGTGTATAGAAAAGAAAGCAGAGGTGATTGTCAGAACAGAATCGTGAGGATGCAAGTATTAAAAGAGGGTTAGCCAAGCAGTACTTGTAGGGAAAAAGATGCGAAAAGTGCTAAATAGAAGAGACAGAGAATGTCAGAGAGAAATGACAAGTGAAAAATTAGATATACTTTTGCATCTTTAGTTATAGCAGCAATAAAGTCTTATAAAGTGTTTTTTTTTTTTTTATAGCAAGAC